ATTGGATCGCAGAGAGACACGGGATTGGCTGAGGCCAGGTGGCCCAACATGTCTGCGCCCTAATCCGACGCCACACCACAACATCACAACTGCACTACGCTACACCACACCGCCTCAGCACCACAAACGTCAGCACGATTTGATTTCTAAGCCATAACGTCGACTATTTTACGTCCTTTTCAAATACTAAACTGGATCTTCCATTGTTTATAATTTCTGCCCATTCCTTTTTGTATATATTTATACTTAAAGGCATATTCCAACTTCTACCGTCGAATATGTTCTAGCCAATTTATTACTTCCGAGTTTGTAATCAGTAGAGGTTTTCGGTGCGCCTGAGTTTGCTTACGTTATTATAGTCACTATCGTTATTTGTTGTAGATCTTTGGGATGACTGACTACCGGGTCATTGTTTGTCGTGAAGGTTTTTGTAAGCCAATTGCCAAAGGAGCATTTTCAGCAGCCTGCACTATTACTCTAATATGTGGAAAATTCAATATTTTATTCGATCCAGGCAGCCCGTGGGATGCGGATATGATACACTCGATTTTAGGCGAGCACAATCTTGAATGCAAAGACATTGACTACGTTATCTGCTCCCATGGGCATGTTGACCACATCGGCAGTCTAAATTGTTTTCCTTCTGCTACAATATTAATCGGAACGGAAATTATGCGATCCGGCAGAACTGTTGAGCATAATTTCTCCTTTGTCAACCCTTTCATTATTGACGACAACGTAAATTGTGAACAAAAGTGTAATTATATCTGTAGGTGCGGATTATCTTCACTCCTGGACACACAAAGAATGATGTATCATTAGTGGTTGAGAAAACTCGAGAATTCGGAACTGTCGTTGTATCTGGTGATCTTTTTGAATCTCAACAAGATCTTTTGGATTCTCAGTTATGGAAATCCAGTAGCTTGGATGCTATTTTACAGGAACGTAGCCGGAATTACATTTTGTCGTTTGCTAATTACATTATTCCTGGCCACGGTTCGATGTTTCGAGTTTAGATTCTCTCAATCATTATTCCTCAGGTTCTTACAGATTGTTGAAAGGATGAAATGAAGGTAGCCAGAAAGCGAACAGAGTAAGTTTCGACGTCGCTTTTTTGCATTACCTAATATGTTGTAAACGAACACTTTCCGGATTACTTTCTGTCCATAAATAGATCGACGATCCCTTATATCTTTTCTGAAAAGATTTTGACTCTTTCTTGAATTTTGTTGTTACTGTTAGCTTTATTATTCTTATGTACGCCTGTGTTTGTAAGCAGTAATGCTAAAATCTCGGTGCTTGAAACAGCGGCGGTATGCGTCGGTTGCTTTGGAGACAGCATAAAGAAATTGGTAAATGAATCAGTAAAATCCACCAAACGACTTTCGTTTCATCTCGCTGAAATCAGCAGCACATTTTGGTCCAAATCATTTAATTATTTCATTAAGCCGTTCCCGGGTCTGATTTCTTTTTAAATTACTCTTTGCTGCCGTAATAATGCAGGTTTCGTGTGGAACTGGTAACAGATAAAAGGTGTATTTTGCTCCCCTGTAACGACATTTGCCCAATTTTTATTTTTTCTTCGTTAATAACGACATGTGTTCTCGGTACGTGCATGAGCGAGGATTTTTATCATCTAAACTTTTATCTTTCTTTTCACTTAGAGTTCTTGGCTCAAACGGTAGATGCACCTCCTTTATTTGCTTTAGCCTCATTCGTAACTTCTCGCTTGTGAAATCAGATGATGCCAAATGCACTTGGTACTGCCTCCAGGTTCGAGAGTCAATATGGCACCCCAATTTGCATACCGCAGATCTCAGTGTGCAAACACGTCGGATTGATGCGCTTGTTGGTGCAATCTGTCTGTGACTACCTTACCACAAGTCTGGCGTCAAGCAGTACTCGTCGTCCCAACGCGACTTGAGCCTATCAACTCTCTATTCATTACCTGATAACAAATTCAATTTTTTGTTATTTACAACCAGGACTTGTTCTTAGTTTTAATCCCTCTGTGATTCTAGTGGACTTATTTAGTCTTGACGTCGGACTTCTTTCCTATGGGTCGGCCATTTAGCAAGTCATGGGCACTGGCCTCCATTCACTACTAAATTCAGTTTCGGGGTCAAGTTCCCTGTTCCACTTTGGAGCTGTTGTTGATATCACCTTGAGTGCTCTAAGCGCTATCTTCGTTTTCTCCAAAAGAAGTTGGACTTTAAAGTTGATGGTTTTTTAACTGAAAGTTAATTACGATTTTTTCGGCTAATTCGGTTGGTCGGAATCCATTTTCGGCCGGCAATGGTTAATCAGTTGAGAATGCTATAAGGTTTCATAACGTTGTACCAACTACCGTATCGTTTTGCGACAAACAATACCAGTAGTTGTGGAGGGACTGTCCGATGTTTGGCAGTTTAGTAATCAGTTCGATTGATGTTAAATTTTAATTTCATTAAAGCTGAAAAGATTGCTGATTTTCTCTCTATTCACATCCTGATTACGTTCCTCTTCGTTAACACGCACAGAAATAACCTATACTACTGACTTGCTTTAAGGGTCAGGAAGAATTTAGTAGCAAATCTTGAATAATTACAAGTCATAATGTGAATAATTGGCCTCCCTTTGAGTCAGTACATTTTTGGATGTGCTAAAAGAGGTATATCTAGCGGGCCTTGTATTGCGTAATCCCTTCTAACCTTTTCGACAGAACGATGCAAATTGACTGTTTTTTTTTGGATGTACACGAATCACTAGATATTTCTGAGGAGTAATTTCGTCAAACGGTTATAAGCTGGTTTGTTCCAATTGTTTGTGATTGCTTACGTTTGTGTTCTTCGGCTGGCCTGGTCCCGATTTCTCTCCTAGTTCAGTCATACCTTCACATAACCTTGTTCTTCCAGGAAAAGGTGCCACAACTTCAGATATCGGGCTGGGGGGACATTTCAACTTGGACTTTTGATTGTAAACCTGATTATTATTGGACTGTCTCGCTTACTGCTATAATCGCATATTTCCGGGATCCATTATCTCACTTGATCCTGGCACGCCTGGATATTGTGCTTGTGTTTCCCTTAGAATTTGCAATCATCTGTTGAGAGTAAGTGATATTTGAATGACAACTTACTCCATAAAATTTCCATTCTAGCATTATCAGTAGATTTTTCCTAAATAGCCTGTAAAGTTTCGATCTGGGTCACAAGTTTGCACTAGCTAATGAAAGAATTAAGAATAAACTTCGTAAACTTGACGCCCTCAATCTCATGTGAGGAAACTGACTGACATTACGACCATAAATTTGAAAAATGAACACTCCTAACTTCTGACCTACTTGGGCTGTGGTTGTGAATATCCCAAAATTAACTCTGTGCAGCATCCTTCATTACTCCGCATAATGAATTCCTGAGAAAATGGAGACATCTTGTTGGAGGGGGGTTGACACAGTGAAGTAAAGTTAATAACAATGGGTTTCAACCGAAATCAATTCAGTTATAAAGCTCATGGTAAGGTTAATGAATGCTGAGTTTTAAAAACACCTCTGAGTCTAGTTCCCGCAAAACCAACTCCTTGGAACAAATAGATCTGCAATACCTGGGATAGGTGGGCAATTTTTCCTGGCATACCATTCCATTGAGTAAAGGCACATCAAAATCCCCATACCCATGAAGAGCCCAACCCAAAGCCCGATATTCCAAAGCCTTGAGCGTCCTCTTAGATTGGCGATTGCAAAGCCAACTCCACCGAATATGACGAAAAGGACTGGGTAGAAGAACCGAAAGACCAGAATGAGCACATACTCATGCACAAAAGCGGAGAGCATGAAGACTGCTGTTTGAGCCATGAATCGCCTGTGCCTCCCACTTATTGCGTAGACGTCGCGGTAGATGTAGGCGTAGAGCCAGTCGTGAACCACGACATTCCACGTGCGATAGTAAGCGCTGAAAGTTACGCTATTCCACCAGTCCTTGTAAAACAGCCGGTCACCAAACCTCAGCAATTCTGCAAACGAATTCAACCAGCAGTGCAAGAGAGCATAGAAGTTGGTTAGTAAAAGAAGAGCACCAGGTAGCATGCATCCAAACGACGAGGTGATCAGTTGACGCAGAGAGAAACTAAACTGTGCTGAACGTCCGAAATCGGCAAAGTACGAGAAACAGAAGCGGGCGAAAATAAAATAGGTGTAGAGTATGCAGAGGCCTACTTGGAAGAAGTTGATTGCTACGATGCGCCAGCGAATGTAGGGTGTTCTAGGGTATGTATCCCGGTACACGAGCGTGGGGGCAAAAAGAAAGTATAGGTAATGTGAAAAGGATGGCAGGGGAACACCGTTAGACATGGTGATTTCCTCCCCGTCTGCCATTTTGGCTCCACCCACGGTGGCGGGGAAGCGTTCTTCACCATTATTTGATCTACGGTGATGCTGACGATTCTTCTCCACCTGACAATCTTCTCCTGATAAAAACGCCTTAGCAGCATTGGCTCTAACAAAGGCATGAATTTTCATTAGGAGGCGGATTTGCTCGAGGCAGACGATCGTAGTGGTAGCTGGCGCAAGATCATGCTTAAAAATGAAGACCACTGGAAGGACTCCAAAAGCAGTCTAAAAAATTTGCAAAACGGTGACTTTTTTGGTAGCTATTAGTCACTCAAAATCGAGTTTTATCAGGACATTCTGTTTAATCTTCGAACCACCAGACGTGGCCTGATTGTTTAAACGCAATCTGAAGACAATTTACCGAAATTCTGACAAATCTTTTTTTCCAGGACTCCATACAACATGACAATCAACTGCTAAAGTAGCACTAACCCTGGTGCTCCTAGGCACCTTTACGTGTGTTCTTCAGAGGACGTAATTTCCGGACGTGAAGAGGCCGATCAACATTGAAGAGGCACAGTCGACTTGACTAAAAATACGCTAAGTCAAACTTCACCCAAAGAGCTCCCCAATATTGGGCTTTTGTGAACTATGTTCTTGAATTAGCATGTCATTCTACTATCAGGTGAAAGCAAGTAATACATTTTGCTTATGTACTTGATTTGGTGAAGACATCTACAAAAGAGCTTTTTAAATAGTAGCGAACTGAGATGTGGAAATAACTTGTTATTTGGATATGAGTCAGGTAGGAATAATCGCAGGACCACTTCTTTAAGCTAACTCTCATTTTGCCTAACTTTGAAAGCCTGTGGTTATCACGAAAATCACAGCTGAAAGTACCCAGATAGCATTGGCATTTTGCCAAAGTGAGAGCACTTGTGTTTCCCCTTCAGGGTGCTGTTTATTCAAAATAGCGTTTTAAATAATTGTTTTTTTCCTATGGATAGCCCACTGTTTTCGTTTAAAGCGTCAACTATTTACCCATCAGGTCTGACTCTAACATCTACCCTTAATTGCACACAAAAATTTTTCACGAAATGCATCCTTTTTATTGACCATGCAGAGGTCATAACATGTTATAATGTCGTGTACGCCAATTGTATTAACTCCGTTTAACAAAATGCGTAAAACGGAAACACCTAGTGACAATACTGTCGCTTATGCTTCCATTGCAATTTAAATTCAATTTCTCGAAATCCTCCCAGTCTACCGGCCAAAATCTTCCTTGGGTGGGGTCGCTGGTCAAGGCGAACATGCAGCGCCGAATTTCTGAATTCCGTTGACATTTGTCATTAAATCCCCCAGTTTTAATCGAGATTCCCCTCAAATCACTTTCGCACATTTTGCTGCGTACTTTTATGGGGCATTTCCCGCCGTCTTTGACTGTTTACATTAATATGCAGATCGAATAATCATATAAAAACTACCATGCATGCAATAATTCACCAAAAAATGCTCGACCAGGGCACGCTAAACAGACTACTAGGTGTTTGACACCCAAGGTTCCTGCTCTGCATGAAAGGCCTCACCAAGACATCAAACCTACCTGGAACACAATGTAAAGAACCAAGAAGGCAACATCGAAGGCAGTGCACTTGGAGTCCGGCTTCCTTTTAGTTGCCCACACCATGAACGTAAGGTAGACGAAAAGGCTGGCACAAAGGAACATAATTAGCCAGCAGTGGAAGACGTTGAAGAGGCCTTTGAACGCCCACAAGAAGAGTTCCACGTGGTAGACGTGAACAAGACCGCCTTTCTCCACAACATCCGATAGAACGGTGTTTAGTGTAAAGATAAGAAGAACAGCGACGAATATGTGATAAACAGTTTCAATGTGGGAGATCTTGAAGAGGTCAGTCAAGACAGAATTCCGATGAACAAATTTCTTCTCTGGCAGCCAATTATCCGATCTTGACTTGATTTTTTGCTTGTCAGACATGCTGAAAAACATTGAATGCTATAATTTTCTAGTTCTGAGGAAATAATTCGGGTAATTCTATCACATTGGCCTACTACAAGTCATCAATTCGTCCAACCTATCTGCGGAACAGTGTGCACCAGGTTGATTAAGCGACTGATACTACTAAAATCTGAAAACCAGCACTGCATTAGAAAAAAGGACAGTTCTAACAAGCCTTCAAGGGCTGTGGCACACTTAATGTAACAAAAATCGGTATTATCAAATCAGAAATCCAATTGCATTAATAATAGCTAGTTCGTTAAAATTGTGTGAACTCAATGAAGCTACCCCTAGGGGGCAGATAATTCCTCCTTCGTGGGTTTGTGGAGTTGGTATTATGTTACCACTCTGGTCTACATTAACGCCACAGACCCTACGAAGAAGATTGGTAGCGGAGAGCGTTAGCACACGATTTTCAGTCTTTTCGTGTGGTTACGTGTCAGCATAAACAGCGATGCAATGTGTGACCAGCATTCGAATGGAGTAAAATGTCGATGAAGCAGAGAACATGCGTTTATGCTTTTAACAGGAATCAAACAACCGAACTCAAGAACAGTATGCAAGTAGCTTAGAGGCACCATGTGCGATGGTATCTCACGTGAGAACACCCGTAGCGAATTCAATCTGATAATCCTCTAAAGGACAATTTTTTTCACTAATCATAACAATTGTTATCATGATCATAATCAATTGCAATGATAAGCAGAGACTTGATGCTAAAAAAAGGTAAAGTGAACGGTGAAAAGTATCCTAACAGGCTCGCCTTTGGTAAGATGTGAAATTTAACTTCTTTTCCATTCAAATTTTTGTTAGGAAATGCGCTATTCGTTGGTAGCTTTTTCACCAATTATGAAATATCCACATCGACAATTTTGGAAGAGTTTGTACAAGATGCAAGACGCATACAGAGTGAACACCGCGAAATATTTGTCAGTTTTTGGTCTTAATGATACTACTGATTACTGGGTATTACCATAAATGCAAATGATAGAAGGCAGAAAGCAAAAATTTAAGAACGAAAAAGAGATTGATTCGAAGGCTTCGTTGCAATAGACAATAGATTTCAGTGATCCAAGAGTGATTTGAGATCGTAACACGTGACATCCGGGCTATAACAACGGAGTTTGTGGAAGGCACTCGTGTAAATAATATTTCACTTTCCACACTTTAAATAGTATAACCCGAAAAATTACTGAAGTAAACCTCGCATTGAGTAGAACTATGGATCCTCATTTTGAAGGGATTTCGACGTGTGAAAGCACTAATCAGATATCTGCATATGCTCTGATGGCTTGGTGGTGCGGTAATAGTTCAATAAATGATGCAAAGCTAAGCAGTGCCTTTAAAGAGGACTCAATCGGAAAAGTGATGCCTTTGAACCAAACCTCTTCATTGTGCTTCAAAATTTAACATGGAAAATTTGTAATTACGCGGGGGAAGAGTTGGCGTGAGCCACTGCCTGCTTCACATAAGAACCTAGGTAGTTATCATTTGGGCTTAATGTCTGGCCACAAATCATTATAGGCATGGACTTGAACTCGCGCGAAAGACTTTTGATTCCAAACTGACAATTGCTTATCATGAAATTAACGTAGGATGTGAGAAATGTGTACACAAAGAGGATAGTATCGTAGGAATGAAAAGATTTGTGAACTTAGATGCTGAGTAACACTAAAATTAGGCGTCAAATCTAGCACAGACATTTGACTAAAACTGATTTGGTATAGGTTTCGTCAAAAACCTATACAAACAAAATATGTAGATTTATTTATATATCAAGTAAGTGGAGTGTTTATTTATGGGCCTACAAGCAGCGAGTTTCGAACGAGGTGGAAATTGCGTGATAAAACGAATAAGGGAGTGCTTATACACTAGTGACGATATTATTACTACTTGAGAAACAAGATGTAAGAAAAAATGAGCATTGTGAGAAAGAAAAATCGGTTTTGATAACTTGAATATTCTCGGCAAATAAAGCAAATGGAATGTCTTCAGATCAGATTTGTAACTAATACATACTTTGCTTTTAGCCAGTTAGAGGATTGTACTAAGCTGTCCGCCTCCGATTGTTCAAGAATTCTGTCCACTGCGGTCGCGAGAGCCTCTCTGAGCCGGCTGTCGAGGTCGTGGACAATTTGCTCACGCAGCTGATCACACAGCTCGTTTGCTCTTTTGGAGCCTGTTTGGCTGAACTCCGCGCTGTCGAAAGTAGCCGCAGATTTGGCAGTAGCCGAAACTGCACTCTGGGGGCTTAGTCGTTTGCGCACTTTCATACCGCGCTCTGCTCCTCCTGCGACGAGCTCACGTTCAGGTGAAGTGGTTACGGAAGACACGCCTTTAGGCGAGATAGTCATCTGCAAAGGAGAAATATTAACTCAACTTTTGGCAAACTGCATAAAATAACTCGGTAGCTGTGGCTTTACTGTTTGTTTTCGGACAAAAAAGATACCAACGTTAACAAAACTATTAAATATTAGTGCTTTTCCGCATAAGTGGACTTCGTTAGCGAGTGAGCACATTAGAATGGGTGATGTCGGTGTACGAAAACGAAATGCACCATTTCAGAGACAGTGTAAATTTGTTTAGGTCAATATGCAGGCATTTTGCAAATAAACTCTGATTTGGGTGAGAAGCTAGTTGCGTAGTCTTAAAAATCTTTAGTTCGTACCCAGAAGTGTAGTGTTCTGGTCTGTATTTCATATGCTAGAGAGAAAGATTTACAAGTATCAAATTTTTTAACATAGCACATTTTCGACTAACCTCATCCAACAAAAGGCGTGATTAAAGACCATCAAATCATGTGCCTGTCTGTCGCACACTGAAGTTTTGTGCTAGCAGTAGTGTGCTGGCTATCGCCTAGTTTATTACATTTATGTGTCGCCGTGGGTTTCCGTGAATCCGGTACTCACTAAAATTGGGGTGCAGATATTTGCTCACTCCCTACCTTGAGCCACTCGAGCAAATTTGAAAAAAAAAACAAAAACCATCCAGAGCTCATTAAAGTGGGTAATAAAAAGTCAGATATATGCAACGAGGCGAGGTTATTACTACGGATCGATCAACTTGGTACGAGTTCAGTAGACAAGCATGCGCTTCAACCACAGAGACTTGGTGGGATCAAAATTCCCACGTACACCAAAATTTTAATTGTGGCCTTCCGATTTTAGAGTCTGTTGCTACAAAATCTCCATTCCTTCGAAATTAATCTTATCCTTCTTGGTTATCAGGCAGGGTTTACCTTATTCCCGATGCGAAAGGAATGGCACTCTTGAAATTCGAGCGTATACAATATCTGATCCTCAGCAACTACTGCAGAACTTTGGAGGTTGTTTCTTTGATCTGCTGGGCCAAGTAACTCAATGGAATTGGCAACCCGAGGACGATTCTGAGTAATATAGATAATAGTGATTTGTGTGACAGCTAATTTATGAGGCGATAAATATTAGTAGATGCGATAGTGCACCTATAAAGACATGACACTTTGAAGGCTCCATGCTACTGGAAATTTCCAGGTGATTCTGGGTTCAGCTAGTGCACTTATCACTTTTGACATCCATCATCCAATGGATGTTTTTCGCCGGTAATAGTTAACGACACGCCATTCACGTCTTTCAAAATATAAACAGTTCTGCGAACCGTTGACTAACACGATCGCTACTGCCTGTTTGCCTAATCTCTTAGCACTGCTATTTTGCGACGCTCACAAAATCAAGTTTAAGTCATTTGTGAGCGAAAAATTTGTAACTTCTTTAATTGGGTTTTGTTGCTTGAGCAACATTATCCAGCTTAAGCCAAGGTTAGTCAAACAGGATCAAAAGGATGGTTGCCAAAAGTATATGTATGCTCAGAGCTACTTGACTACGCCTGACGCTTTTGGTGGCATGAAACTCGAAAATTCCCTCCACGACGCCTGTTTTTGTAAGACAACTTCAGTCGGCAAACCATTTTTGCTGCTCCTATTTGACCCTACCAGTTGTAGGTCAAAAATCTAGCAAAGCCTGAAATTCAAGCACATTTATCATGGGAGGTGGGTCTACGGATCTTGAGACCACTTTGATTCAATCCGGAAAATTGAATACATCTATTGATTATTATCGACGTAGGATTTGAATAGTAGAGGAGTTTCGTGTACACAATTTCCGAGGGTGCTTTCACGGATCATAGTGACCTTGAAATTACTTCCCGTAACTGTGCAGGTGCCTAGTTACACTACCCACTTGTACCGAAGAAATTGCAAGCTTGACATCGCGTCTACCTACCTATACCCAAAAGGAGCTTGATTTGAGAATTGAGGGATTCCTTGTGACCTAGCTCCAATAATGATACATGGTCTTGAACACTTAGCCTAGCAAAATGGCCATTAATTTATCTCAGAAGAGTAGCTCGCTGTGCAGAAAAGTAATTTAGTTTCATCTCACTACCTATGGACGTCACCAAAGAAAACTATTTACGCAACTTGTGTTTGGTCTCAAACGCGGGTCTGTGTAATGTTTTTTGAGAGACAAAAGTTTTACGCGACGAGACCTCCCTCCCACTCACTTTGAACAGCCTTTTTGAAAAGTGGAGCAGATCTTGAAGTGACCTCCACACGTGACTCCATCATTGCGTCACAGTGGCTGGGGCGATTTTAGATGGGAAAACCCGCACCAACCATACGGTACCAGGTAAGTGGCACACGAGTATCAGCTGTAAGAAAACGCGAGTCACGGCAACATTTTGAAAACGGAATTCAAAGGAGCTTGGATGGTTTCAACAGCAGGCCAAACATTGCAAATTCTTTGGCCCTCAACATCAGACTGATAGCATGGTACCAGGTGTAAATGATATCTACCCAAAACGAGCTGTGTCTGTGTTGTTCGTGTTTTCTAACACGAACAACATACTTTAAGTCACAGTCCGCTTTAATTTGTATAGATTTTAATAGAATAAGATGCCCAGCTTAACAGCATCATTTATGGTTCATTTATACGTCAACAAGTTCTGTTTCCTAAGCCTCAAAGAGAAATAAGGATTTCCTAAAATATGCCTGGTAGTGGATAGCATGAAACCGCCACAAAATATTTTGACGTACCGAAGCTGTAGTTATCCAACCTGACACTGACATACATCTGCGCTCTACAAACATAAATACTTGCGCAAAGAACCAGTCAGGTGTGAGGTGATTGCGACTCGGCCCTAACGTAAATAGTGTACCAAGTGATATCTTGGAGCGTCAGTTCTCATTGCAGAATTAACACCGCCAGTAGGCAACCATCAAGCCTCGTAGATCGTCCTCATAATAAGCTGCTTTTAAAAGCTCTCGGCATAAAAGCAAATAGCAAGCCTACTACTGCCTCATTAGACTTGGAAGCAAAGTAAATTACAACTTAGGTGTGGTTTATTTATTAAATAGAACCAAAGTAGACGAGATGTAGTGACTCAAATGGAGGCATGGTGTAGTTGTTGCTGGTTGCCGGGCAGTGACTGAAACCAGCCACTCCTGGAACGCCGCCATCTCATACTTCAAGCGGAGAAAGCGGCAAGTTAGGGATTATGCAGGTATAAATTAGCGTCAGGTCTGATGACCAATTGATTTTGTCAGCAGGGCCCTCTCGTTTCCCGAGAAATCGATAGGTACCGATATTGCTGTGCGTCCTACCCACTGAGTAGGCACAACTCCACACGCCTTCCGCCCATATACCCGTTTTTACACCAGTCTCAAGTCACTCATGGTAAACCCAACTATACGAACTTAACTGAATGGTTACTTTAAAACCTGAAACACCGTTACTGTCCCCGACACTTGACTTCAGAGTTACCTGAAGAAGCGTCGATTCGTTCGACTTGATTCAACTTTGGTATTACAAACCACAAGGTTTAACTAAAGTAGCAGTTGTTATAGACAATAAGTGGGTACTCACAATGCTCGCCTCAAAGAGCCCTATTGGTTTACATTCTCTCTTAGTGATTTGAAGGGATTGGAGAACAATAATGCAAGAGTTTGATTAGTTGGTGCCAGGGAAGTTCAATCCCTGCAAATCCAGGCGTTATTCGATGCAAGTCCCTTGCCCGCACAGACATTTCCGTGGGTTTTTCTACACATTGAGAATATTTGCGAGGTTGTGCTGAGTTACCTACGAATAAATACTACTTTAAGATCGTTCACGAAAGTGCAATAGACATACGTACCAACCGCCTATGCGGTGTCATAAAACGACTTCTGTAATTAGCAGTCAAGCGTTACTTTTGGCTAAGAACCACTTGTTCTGGACCTCTGGCACCAATTTTATGCAAAAGAACTACAAAGTTGTTGTGATACGTATTCAATCACACTCGCTAATCCGATCACTCCATCCTCCGACACAGGGTTCCCTTTTTCGAAGCATGTCGCCAGCCGCGCGGATCCTCAACTCCCCCCTCATCCGCACGAACATTGATCTTGGATTATCCTCACACCTAGGTCTCGATGTTAGCGCATTTACGACTCACACATCTGAGGTATAAATACACACGCGCAAACCCCACACATGACACAACGACACCAACGTGGTTGAGGTCTGGAGTAAACGGTTGTGTCCACGTCCCTTTCGGTCTTTTCCTTCATCCCGGGTATCAGGGAAGCGTAATCGGGCCTGGGTTAATTCCGTGGCCCCGGCGTGGTTCAAGGCCACATGCTGGGGACCACAACAAAGTGGTCAGGCAATGAACCCTCACAGTAAAATCGAGCTGATATTTGCGTGATTCCCCAAAGTACGCCTGAGAATAAATTTAGCAATTGCAAGGTAAAGTACGTAAGTCGAGATCAACAGCATCATTACTTTATTTACCACTTCCGAATTCTCGTAGGGTTTGAGAAAACGCGCAGCTTTACCCACGACTGATTTATTGAATTTGCACCGTTTTCACATGAATTAAGTGTTCACAGGGAGAGGGCGCAGTAAGGACACACTAATGACAGAATTTGCTTACGAAATACATGTCGTGATGCAGAAAAGACTGACGAGGGTGAAATTTTACACACAAAGTACAACTCACGTCGCGCTTCTAGAGCGAGGTCGCACTGCGCCGGGTGCCTCAGCGTCTGTGACGACGGGCAACGCGACACACTTGCGTGAGGCGTCTGCGTCGGCGACACAAAGCGCTGATTGGTCACAAGTGTGCTCACGAGATGTGCTGCCACATCAATCCACCCATTTGCTACTAATACGATTAGTGCGATTTTCAGTAGCGAGGACATGTGAAGGCACGAGTTCGTAACAGACATGGTGTTAGAAACAGGTGGTCGACGATGGGATTAGATGGAACCGAATTGATGGAAACCTACCGAGTCGCGGTGTGAAACGAAATGTGCTGTCCCGAAGCACGTGGCTCAATTACGGCCACATCTGTTTGTTCATTTGAGCCAAAATTTAGGTCACGAATTTCGTATTTTAATCGGTCCAATTACTCGTTTGTTTTTTGGGAACAGTGATCGAAATGATAATCAGCAAAAAAACACCACGGTCTGCTCCGTAACCATTCCTCGACAGAACTAGACTCGGCTGAGGATGCTAGGATATCGCGCGCAGTCGATCACTTGCTACCAATTACAAAATTTAAAACTTTATTGACGACACGTAGAGAGAATCAGTTGCTTTAAATGAACAATTGTGTGTGCTCTAATACACAGGCCCATGGGATTTTGCGCCAAGTAACTTCCAGCTGGCGAGCATTTGCGCGGTATCGCCTTACCTTCCAACGGGAATTATTTAAATATGGATTTCGACAAGTGATAGTGGCAGATGCTCTCCACAATTTCCACACGACGACGTGCAACAGAACATCCCGAATTTACATTTATACAATGTAATAGCAGCCAGTTTATGATCGGTTACTGAAAAATTATGTTTTGATGAGTCTGTTTTAATCACAACTTCATTGATAGCTGTAAATCATTTGTGATCGCCAATCATTTCATGTTATTTAAATTATCACTGTTCTACATTATAAACTACAAAAAATAGTGCAAACGCTTCAAGTAATCTACTGCTTATTTTGTATGAACAACCAACACACAGAACTTGTTACAATTTACGGTCAGCCACCTACTTATTTGCAATGCAGGTGGCAAATTGGGTTTCACTTTGGCATAACGCTACGAATCGGTTAGTGCTTTAACCACATCGGCTACGTATACCAGAAAATTAACGTCGCACACAACGCCTACTTTAATTTACCCAGTAGCCTGACTTTAGAGCGATGATTTGCGAAAGCACCTCACCCCTAGTAAGACTGACCCGATTTACCATCCCTGGTGCAGAGATGTTCTCGAAAACTTGGCTGCTTAATTAAATGTAGCTCAGCGTAATACCTTGAAAGCACGAAACTACTAAAACTTACGGTATCTTAAAGCATTAATTTCATTTGGTGTATGTATATATAAAAGGCATCAAGTAAAGAGAAGACGAGTTGTGTGCTTGAATCAAGGTAAGAAAAGTATGAAGAGGCGTACATTGTTGACATCAAGACTTGTTGATTTCGCAACTGGAAGATGAGCCAACACTGGCCAGGTAGTTGAGATAAAAAGTCAAGTCGAGCCTAGCTGATGGTAAGACCTGCGATTTGCGAAGACAACGAGACCATGTTCCAAACCACCAACTGCCCGTCACGACCGATCGAGGAGACCTGACTGGCCTTCGACCTGTTGCCCTCCAAGATACAGAGCTCGCTGAAAAAAACAACAAAAAAACATGACTTGGTGTGGGAGGCTTTACTGCCAGGCTTTGCCGATGCCATCGTTAATATGCAAAAGACACAGTTTTCCAAAATTATAGATAATGATCTTGGAATTGGTGTTAAATGGTAATTAAAATTTACAGTGGTCCAGAAACCAACCCAAGGATTTTACTGTTGCAGTGTGGGTGACAGGAAGCGGCTACTTTGCCAATCAGCTGACAACTGCTCTAAGTATTAATGTTCCGAACACAAACAAATTAAGACAATTATGATGTGTGGGAAATAAACGCTTTGCTTTCAGTGCATCAAATGGGAAGGGCAGTGAGCGTAGCGAATAGACCGATGGTTTCGCACTAGTTAATTCGAAAGGAATAGCTTGGACAAAACACCGAGGGAAAAAAACGATAGAAATTACTTGATAGAGTTTTGGTGAATAGTCGAAAGACGTGCGCCGGTAGTGTCCGTTGTCGCCATACGATCGATGTGCTGGAATTTGCGCATTGCCGACAGCGTGCTTTCAGCTTGGGACTCGTTTTTTATATCGATCTAAAGAAGAACGCCGGAGGCAGTTAAAAAAGACAGCGACGTTTGAATTGTTATAGATGCTTACTTCTGCTTGCCTCGCTTTATTTCAGGAGTATACTATGGCGACATAAATTATACCTAAGGCCAAAATCCGTTTGCAGATTGATGTCACAAAACTCGCATCTTGGAGTGGTCTGACATGCATTACTAAACTAAAAACCAGAACGCCTTTCCGATAATGTGATGGTTTTCTTCATACTCAGAGAAGGTGCTAACACCTACCTACAGACACTTCACTGAAGTGTGATATCGTGCAGCAAGTGCGTTGTTACTACAAAAGTAAAGTTGCACCTCTAACCGTTCGACCATAGGCGAAACGTCAGGAGACATAAAGCTGATTAAATTTTTGATCGTTTTTTGAGATTTTTTTATTTTTACAGAAGACATTAACATTGCAGTTAAAAAAAAACGCAAAAAACTAGTAACATAGACTCAGGGAAAAAGTCTGAAAGGGCTAAGTTTTTAAAGAGTGAATAAAGGAAAAGGGAGCTAATTTTGTCGAAATTTTTGTTAGCAGGGATGGCTGTCTCAAAATGTCTTACATTAAGCACAGCTGAGGCATCTAGCGCGACTTTCCATAAATCAATTCTTGCACTCAATTCAATTTTTGTGGTACAGACTGCAAAGTGTAAATGAAAACTAAGACAGCGAGAAGGATGATCAGAGCCTACCGATTTGCCCTCAGAAATGCCACCTTGTGGTCCATTGTACTTGAAGAGGATGGGACAGCAATCGTGACCTGCGGCAAGCACGCTGCTTGGAGCAATCCACATACAACTTGTCAGTGGAAGGAACTGGTGCCTGATTGTCTGCACGACAGGCGGAGAGCCATTGCTTGCATCCGCGATACTCAATGAACAGTCATGGCCTGTCCATGCCAATTTATTTCCGTCGGCCGAAAAGCATATGCTATGAATCCACGAGCCTTTAAAAAAATAAACACATAACTAATAACGAAGGTGCCACCATAAATAACTTTGCATCAGACATAAAGGTAAAAGTACCAAAACGTGCACAGATTAAAACCCAGTAAGACTGCAAGTGAATTTGCCTAGTTTTAATAACCGGTGAATTGAAACATGGCTACTACACTTCAACTAACTTGCCAACCAGCAAAATAACAAGTAAAAGAAATAATTAGAGAATAAGTAACAAAAAGAAATGAAATAGGCATCGACTCTACTAGTAAATTTGTCAAAAGACCTGGAATCATTAACCAAAGTAAATTCGATCTATGAGTGGTTGCTCATTAGGTTTTAGAAAAAAAAAACTATTAATACGCAAACAGATACAAAAGCTGCGCACCATGACCGTTGTAGGCCTCAAATAACAAAGTTTGAAATGGACTTTTGGGACCCCAGATCGAGTCAGCTCCCTCAGAATCAACTTCTTTGATGACCGCGGAAAAAACACGAACACGATAATCGGTGGAACCGCAGGCAAGAATGTTGTTGTTTGGATGCCAGTCGACGCAAGTAACTGTAGATTTGAGGCCCTTTTTAATGTGTTTTGAGACCCACCAATCCTGCTCCTGCTCGAAGAAGCACACAGACACTACCTTGCTCCCAGAACCGACAGCGAACTTGTTACCGAGAGGCGACCATCTAACGCAAACAGCAGCTCTATTCAACTAAAATATTTGAAAAATGTCCAATTATAAGGCTGAAGTATCTTGAGACACACATATAACACAGGTCCGAACCTGCAGGGCCACGAGAGTAGGTTTCCATTTTCCTTCGCGAGTCTGTTTCCATACATAGGCATTTCGATCGGCTGAACAAGATACTATTTGATTAGTGGTAGGCGACCAGTCAATTCCCATAACCAACGCAGAGTGTTCCTTAAGCGTATCTACCAACTTGAAGCGCTCCCCAGAAGAACGAGGAACGGAGAGAATGTAGACATTGTTAGTGTTAATGGAGACAGCCATTAAAGAAGCATCCTTGTTAAAAGCATGACAAACCAAGGCATCATTTCCAATCCAATAAGCTTTTGCCATCTAACAGAAAAATACGAAGTAAAGAACCAACTTAGATACTACTTAAGAAGTAGCGGAACTATCAATCTAGATGTCGCGCCGCTTTAGCAAGGTAAATAAAACAAAAATCTGATTTTGAAACAATTAATTAGCCTAAAAAGCACAAAATCGTAACTAATTAACCTTAGAATTTACTAAGGATAAATTTATAAACAAAAATGTCAAATGGCATGTAAAAGAAGACTAGAAATTGGGCAAGCTACCGAAAATAAAGTAAATTCCTTGTAGACATTTCTGTTTTGATGAAAGAATTTCATTGATTATTCCCAGCTATTAATTTATAAAGTATACACTTAAAAAAATTTTAGATCGTAGGAATGGAAATCATGAAAACCTAAAGGCAAGTTAAGAAAAATAATAGAATTTTAGCCTTAATTTTTAGTACTAATATACTTTTGCCAGAAATTCTCTGCCATAAGAATGTAAAAATAGCAGAATATTACAAATAAAGTAAGATGGAAAATTCATTTACTATTTTCTGTTGAGCAAAACGAGGCCTCGATTACAGAGGCTACAAATGTTAAGAAGATGCATGCAGATTCTAACTTATTCAAATTAATTCGAACAAATTGGTGTCATAGGCTGTAAATTGATTAAATCATAAATTCTAAAAGCAATTTTTATTTTGATTGTTACACTTGGTCCGTAAAATTACCTAATTTCCAAAGGGCTTAGTGATGAGACGTCTATACTTGGGAACGCATCAATTGTGTTTCGATAGAGGTCTTGCACATATTCTGTATTAATCGTTTTGCTTGACATATTTAGACATTCTGATCTTATTTAAAATTAATTTACATGCAGGGTTAATTGGTCGGTTTGACAATTAGCAAAAAATGCTCTTCTTAGTGAGGTGAAGCAAAATCAGTAAACACTCATTGTTAGTTTGAAAAAAAAGAGGAATAGGATGGCCAAACTTTTTACGGACTTGGAAATCTGTTATTGTCTCATGAGCTTAAGGTCTCAAGCAGAGATATAGACACTTGATTAATCGTGTCTATGATTGTGGAATTGAGGCTACGAAACATGATCACCTTAAAGAGACCTGTTCATCAGTTAGAATATTTATTTGTACTGCTCGGTCTTACCAAGTTTGTTAGTGGTCTACAGTTTACTTCAGATGTCCTACGTCCGTGCTTTGTAATACATGTTTGATGCTTTGAAGAAATTTAACTTGGCCTTTTCTGCTTCTGCTTTTACAGTTATTTCCAGCTCAGAAGTTAATGTGGAAATGAAGATTGTCATTGCAAAAACGCAATTAGTTGCAGCAAGAAGTGATACGAGGCACCCATAGGTGGACGAACAAACCAAAGATGGTGGAGTCTCAACCGTTTGTCAGCCAGTCAAATTGGGTTTCACTCATTTGTTTCTTTAAATAAGCGTGAGCACCAGGATGCATGTGTCATTGATATGTTGACAAGAAGGATAGGCAAAATATTTTGCATACAAGGATGGTCCACAATTAACAGTGGAGTTCAAATTGGTGCAAAACGGATGCAGGACCAAATTTTTAAAAAGGAAGTCAGAAGGTGAGGGTAAACATTAGCTCTGGCCATGCATGAAAAGTATTGGTAGGGATGTAGTAAAGAAATTCGCCTCACGTTACACGCTTGTTGTGTCCAATGAAGTTGCAAAAACTAGTTTACTTGAATAATGGTCAAACATCGGGGTTCATGAGACAAATTTGCCGTTTTTTTGGCAACGGGGTAAAAGGCACGTACAGGCAGCTGATTTGTGTTGGTGTTAAAGATTCTGCACTCTTTGGATAAATAAGGGTCCGAAGCCTACACTAGTAAATTATTTTTAAGAATCGGAGCTTCAAATATCGTCTCGTGTTGTTCCTTGTATGCGTCTTAAATAACTTCAGTGTTTTTTTAGAATGCAACTGCTAAATATCCCTTTGGTTAGGGAATGCAGACGCCAAGCAAGTGAAATCTTCCTAAGTACTTTAAGACAAGACTTGAGGCTTTACCTGTAAGCATTTTATGTAATTTGTATAAGCGGCATTAGGTAGCTTTTCTGATGTACTTGTTGACGACTCCTCAGTACAGAACTATAGCAAGCGATCAGATGAATAGTATGTAAAATTCAGTGAGAGCTCAACCAAAACTTGTATCCTGGAGTGGGACGTCTGGCAATAAACTTTTTACACATGCTGATAAAAACAAACTGCCTAATAGATTTCAGTAAATGCCTACGCGAAGTTTGAACATATAGCGGGCCCCTGTGCGGTTTTGAAAAACCACACCAGGGCCGACAATCTACGTTGACACAGCCCGACCGAAAGAAGAGAGGAAAAGTGCAGATGGTGCGTAGATCAACTAATTTATTGATCCAGTAACGGCGTGTGTGTTTGTACAGGGTAACAAGTGCGTTTATGTAAGCATCGGTCGCTAAACGCACGTAGTTGAGTGATGTGAATTCACGAAATTCGATGGAATCGTGTTCGCTCACGAATGCCAACTGTGGTGGCTGGCTGCTCACCACAAACACGACTGGATCTGGCAGGAAAAAATCGGGAACTCGTCCGCGAGCGCAAACGTTTCTTCGGCCTTGCATTTACACCCTATGATTGCATTACCAAAGGCAGCAAAGTTGTAGCGGCTTGTGCTATTGCATCAAACACACAAACGAAGACAGTTTAGCAGATTTGCCTGTACTTCCTTTGTAAGGAACGATGGGCACCATGTAAGCGAAAACCTGACCGCTAAGGCGCTTTATTGTGTTTGTGCACACCGGAGATACCTCGTTTTCCGATGGTCTAGAATTTATGGCGTCTTATTGAATGAAGCTCTAACACAACACCTGAACAGGACGACGTCTGGCTTAATGGATTCTTTGAACGCAGAGTCACTAAATGACAAGATAATTTGTAACATTGTGGAAAAAACTGAAGAATCACTAACAGGAAGATCCAAAGGGTCGAAACACAGAGCTCTAGCTTATTCTAGATTGATTTATAAAACGTTTTCCGCACCGATTCCTGTACAGAATAACAAGGACGCTTCCTGGCCTGGAATATCCTCCAGATGGAATTTCACCTAAAAAAGATGTCAGTATGGGTGAGGTGCAAGTGACCATTAAGCCGAATAGAGTAAGCTAAACGCACCGATGGCAGAATCTTTTCTGCAACATAAATTGCAGACTGAGTATGCAATGTAAGAGGCGTTGTAGTCCGGATTACAGACTTTCCTTGGGCTAAAGCCATCGGCAGAATTAATTGGTCTTGCATGTGTGTATCACAGCAGACACCAGATTTAATGCATGGAATCAATTCCTGTTCGATCGCCTCTTTGACTAGCTGACGTACTGGGGGGCCGCGGGGTTGTCCTAGTCCTGATACTGCCAAACGGCATCCGGTGGAGGTTTCTGCAATAAATCTAATATTTAAACACCGTTATAGTGGTGACTAAAATGACTCCTGTTCTAATGAATACACCTTCTACGACATACAGAAAACTAGATACGCTACCGTGCCTCGAATTATCCGGAGCACGAAAACTCTCAACTTCAATAGGAACATCTGGGAAGTGTGATCTCAGGGTTTCGAGTCCAACCGAACGCATTTCATCGGCCACCTAATACGCATGTAATGAGGTTGGACATACTTACTTTAATAGGAACTTTTCCGGCAACAAAAGTCGAACCAGTTACTTTTACAATGGAACCCATTTCGGTAAGACAAACTGGAGAGAGTTTGCCACAAATAGGGTCAACATCTACAACAACTGTACCTCCACCCTGAGGGTAATAGCCACTAAAAGTGCGAATTTCGGGAAAAACAATACCGTTCAAGAACTTGAGTTCGAAAATTTATCCCAAATTTTTCATAATAGAACGCAGTTACTTCTACCATATAGTCAATAGGTGGGGCGAAACTGGCATCAGTGCCACCATGCAAAGTAACACTGCTTTTCGACTTAGCAAAGGCCAAAATAGGTACACTGATTTGCATAAGTAAGGACACAGAACTAAACAATTTTGTTAAAACAGGCCTCGGTACCCCGCAGTTTTAACGTCGCACTGATAGACTCCACCTTTGATGGCTCCAGGGCGAAAAACTATCTCCTTCGATTTAGGACAACATCCCAGAAGCTCGGCATCACACAATTTAGCAGCTAGTTCTAGGCCAAACATGTGTTGGTTACTACAAATGACAATAAAATTATGTATTGCCTTAAGCCGGGATTTGGTCTGCCGGCACGAATGCTGTTCACTTCAACATTACTTTGACAAATGGCAGAAAAGGAGACGGCGTTTCTAAGAATTTGGCCTCCCTACACATAAAAATAAATATCACCATACCCCTTCCAAATTAGAACCGTCAATAAGAACAGTGTTCATTAAGCCGACTGTAGTGTGCCCTGATCGCAGACATATTGGATTACGCAAGGCTCAGCCAATCCACCGTGTCGGTGCGTGTGAATAGCTTATGATAATCAACAGTCGACTAGGTGGAAGGACGAATGAGATAGGTGTAATGCACGCTACCTCCCATGTGATCGAACGCTATTCATTCATGGCAAGTTTTTCCTATAATTTTACCCATTTATGCCTACCAAACTGTTAGAATATGGATTCTAGCGTATCTCTCAAATACTGTCGTCAAGTTGACCTTTTCTTTCCCTTTAATAGTCTAGTAGTCGTTCTCCAAATAAACTTTTCGAAAGCTTCTAATCGTCGTCAAATAATGCATCCTATGTAACTGTTTAAACTGTGCCTCTCGTGTCAACTCACAATTAGTCCTCCTCGCCTCTAAGGTCGATTCCCCGTTCAAGCGTTACAATTTGGTCGTAGTTGTCACACTTTGATGTTCCATACTTCAATCAGATTCGAGCTCAACACTTTTCAACCTACCTTTACACACCCTTTTTTCCGTATCACATAACGCATAACTCTTTCCTTCATGGGATTTCCCGAAAAACAGACCAGGCCCCCAGCATACTAGCATTTTCCCCAAATTACCTACAGGAACCATACTTACTAAAGGAAGAATGTGGACTCCGTGGCTAACAATATATTGACTGCTACTTTTGTATCTGGGAAATGTGGCTTTGGGACCTCCGTATTTATCGTGGCCTTAATCCATCATACCCAAAAAACTAAATGCAGTGCTTTTCTTGACACGGGGCATTGTAACGCACGCGGGTTTGGCCTGTTCTTTGTGTTCCTTTTTCCCTCCCAAATTTTCGCCTTCCTCAAGGAACGTCCGTGAGCCTGAGAGCAACGCCGACCCTACTCACGGCCACTGAATGCCTCTCCAGCACTAATTATCGCATTGCTCTGAAAACGCATGTGGCAGCATGGAATACATCCGGTTCCTCCAGCTATTCTATCATATGCCTGGCAGCTAACCCTAGTGGCTTGTCAATTTAAGAGATACGGGCTCACAAGTATGCACCTATTTAAATTCCCTCATGGTAGGCGCTTTATATAGAGGGCATTATTAGCACCTTCGTCAGTAAAGCGAATTGGAATAGTTCTCGACAGTTCCTAATTACAATTGTTCAGTAAAGTTTCATAGTTTCTACCAAACAGGTCAATAAAACTCTCGATCACTAAATATCATTGACCAAAGATGTACTTGGATAATGCGGTTGAACCCGTAGTTCTTTTGATTATATACTCTGAGCAAAAAAGGAGAAAGAATAAGGATCGCCAGCCGCAGTTTACCATTGCAGTCGACTCAATGTTTAAAAATGATTCATATGGCTGGATTTCTCGTAATCAGGACTATTACATCCTGAAAATCGGAAAAGGTACAGCTGAGAATGCAATGTCTTTGGAAGTGGTAAAACGTCAAGTAAAGCGGGTACCTGTGATGCATAAAGCAGCAATCGTGTAAGGGCCTGATAACAAATATATAAATATAAGCCGCAAAATATATACTGCTTGCACAAATGTGCATTATTAAGCGTCAGTCCGCAGTAAAAAACGTCTTTATTTTGTAACATTAATTTATTTCCTATAGTGCGCATTTTATTTAATTATGTAAATATACCCTAAATAAAATTCAAATATATTTTCGATTTTAAATATAACTGTTTGCTATATTTAGAAAAAAGCTTACTAAAAATAGAATTTCTGTAGCTATAAAAATTTAACATTTAATGATAATGTTATAATAGATCGATTAAAGACGCGCGTTGTTTACAAAATGCAGCAGGCTGGAGTGCTTGTGTCACTGATTCTTCCTAAATCATGTCGCTCTGCTATCACGCTGGTCAGTAAAAAATAACGTTTTGCCAGTTAAGCCACTTAACGCAGCGTTTTTGATTCCGATTTTTGCAGTAATGTTTGTACCTCGTTAAATTGAGACTAGTTGAATAAAAACAGTGAACGATTTTTTTGGGTATATTCACCACGTGCAAGAAATTTGTAAATCTAGTTTAAGCTATGATATAGTTTTAAGTCCTTGTGGCTTTTAGTTCCCGCGTCATGGATCTACCTATATAGCTACCCCTCGGTTCTTCCGTCGTCTTCTCTCACAACGTCCCATATCCATCTGGAAGTTTGCAGAAGAACAAGGATCCAAAAAGAAGCCCTCTGGGTCCCCAGAAACAGAGGCTGGTGCTGGTCGTGGGGGGCCTAAAACAAAGATTGAATTCCAATTTTCGTTTGGCAATAGTGGTGCAAGTGGTGGAGGATCTAAGGGCTCGCAGCAGCCGCGCTCTTGGAATGTCGGACCTTGGATTATTGCTGGAGTTCTTGGAGTGGGTGCCGTAATGGGCTATAACGCTTCTCGGTACCAAAAAGTCTCATGGAAAGAGTTCGCCGAGAATTTTCTTCGACCGTAAGTAAATTGATATCCTGCGTATAAAATTGGCTTGCTTGTGATACATTGTTTAGTCTTCATTATAATCTCAAAAAATGCTAAATATGTTTGGTAATTTATTGTTAGGGTTTTGTTCACAGCATATCCCCAAAACCATATTTCTTTGTATAATTGAATGTTCCGGTAGTAGATGTAAACGTTTCGCAACGCATATTAGCATCAGCCGGTGATTCAAGCTTATTTTGTGTTTAAGGACTGCAACGTCAGTACCATTGGTATATCGGCCTGTTAATTATTTTGCAACATTATCATAAAGGGTGAGGGTGTAAACAAAGAATGCTTAATGCTGGCTCTTGTTCGTTTGAGACCTGCTTTGCCTTTATGTTGGCGTGTTACTGGCGCGTTATCAGAAGTGCCATGGTAATTTATTCCCTTTTCATTAAAGTCTGGTTAAGTTCTGTGCAGCAAGGTATTTATTAATACTTGCAACAGGTCTCTCAGTTTTCATTAGTCAATGTATTGTAAGTATGAACTATTTTCATTCAGGGGTCGTATCCATCATTTGGACGTTGTGAATAAAGAATGGGTGCGTGTTTATCTGCAACCTCCAGGGTTTGGACGTAGTGGAGACGGTGACTCAGGTGACGCCTACGGCATTTCCTCCGGAGCTTCCGTCTCTCCTTCCAGTTCTAACGAACCTATCTACTGGTTCGAAATAGGAGCCGTCGACACATTCGAGAGAAGTCTCCGTGAACTCGAAGCAAATCTGGGTGTGGATCCGATAAACCGCGTCCCCATAAATTACAAGTCTCAGTTTAGGCCGTAAGTTGAGTAGTCGTGACAGAATTTCATACGTATTCTATTAGTGAACAAATGACCACTTGCTTCTCCTGTCATTAGAACTACATGCATGTATTCCCTCTTAAGAGTTTTTTTTCTATCTTCAGGTCAGATTTCCTCTACATGGCATTTTACGCAGCCCTAATTGGCGCCGCTATCTATTCCTTCCGATCCACATCTGGGGGTGTTGTTCGCAAGGTCAGAGATTTTTTCTTAACATTCCAAGAACTCGTTTTATTTTTTATATTGGTTTACTTAATCTACGAATGTAGCGTGCAAATGTACTTAGCCACTCTGTGTAGGTTGCATTTTTCTGGCAAACTGCCACTTAAATTTTCATTTTGGAATCTTGTTCTGTTCTATTAGAAGCTATTGTAGGCACTAGGTGGGAAGTATACTTAATAAAATCGGATCACTGAGCAAATAAGCTTCTTGCGGATTTCATTTCGTTCCTATTAATGAGCAAATGTTGAAAGTTGAAGTTGGTTCTTTTGTAATTCAGTCATTGCATTTGGCAATGGTTTAAAAGCACTCGTCTAAAAAAATAGCAGCTTGGCAATGTAATAATTCACATTAGAATTTTAAAAGTAATGGCCCTTCCTTCCTTATGACCTGTTTTTCATGTAAATTTCGTTCCTTTTACTAATTGCCGATAACTCAAACTGTATTTAACTATCCAGTATTAACTCGTACCTTACCGAGCTACAACCGGCCCTAACTAAAACTAGGTGGTGGTGGAGGTCGAAAACTAACGTCATTAGTTGTTATCGTGGTTTTGTTCACATGAATGAACTTCTACTTGTTCTTATTCAAACCATTCTCTCAGCCCGGGATGGGTTCTAGCCTCTTCAATTTCGGCCAATCTCCGGTACGACTTATTGAAAAAGACAAGATCGGAGTCAGTTTCTCAGACGTGGCGGGCTGTGAGGAGGCAAAACTTGAAATTATCGAGTTTGTCAACTTCCTCAAGAACCCCGGTCGCTATGAAGCACTTGGCGCCAAGATTCCTCGTGGAGCCATTCTTAAAGTGAGCACATTCAACTTTACTTAGTGCACTATTATGTCACATTTTACGAAATTTTACTGGACTCATTCCAATTTCTAGGGGTGATATTATCAATGGAGACTTTTTGGTTGAATGTTTCTATAGCCTCCTTACACTCACTTGGGTCTGTTCGATGACCTGTTCTCAGCTGACTGATTTATTCCTACGTGTATATCTGAACCGCAATCAGTTTCCCAGTTTCTTTTTGGCACTGATAACCCATGTCTTCTCAGTGGATTGATATCGGTATCGCTACCACTTCCGATAGATCTCTTTATTTGTGGACATGATATCAATACCCTAACTGTATGCTCAGTGAATGGCTACCCTGAGCGTGCAGTTTGTTCAAGACGTAACGGCCCAGCCTAGTGCAGCACTTTTTTTCTTTTTATCGAGTTCAAATCTAGGTCTATGCTTTTCAAGGTGTCTTTATTGGCATATTGAGGGAATATCATAGATTTAAGTTGATCCCCGTGTCTGACGGTGTCTCTTGCACCCTTCCTTTTTTTCAGGGCCCACCAGGAACTGGTAAGACACTTTTGGCAAAGGCGACAGCTGGCGAGGCCAATGTTCCCTTCCTCTCGGTGTCGGGCAGTGAATTTCTTGAGATGTTCGTCGGTGTTGGACCAAAACGTGTTCGCGACATGTTCAGTCAGGCGCGCTCGAAGGCTCCGTGCATTCTCTTTATTGACGAAATTGATGCGATCGGTGGGAAACGCTCTGGCTCTTCGTTCGGTCATCAGGAAAGAGAAAACACTCTGAACCAGCTACTCGTTGAAATGGATGGTAAATTTCATGCACAGACTTCATGATTGAGTTGCCTATTCGGCCTTATTATTTTGATAGTTTTTTAATCATATTAATTTTTGTACATCCAATAATTTGTACTGTCAGACGGCCTATTTCGCGACAAGGCTGATTAAAAAAGTAAATGTATAAGATTTATGGTATCAACTTAGGCAACGACATTCGAATGTGGCGGTGGCTGATGTTAATGGTCGATCGATCGGGTGCCAATTTACTGGCTTAGTTTGTACTCATCTGGGGTTGTATTTGTCATACGCAACTTGCAATTAAGATATGCCAATTTACAATTCTACGATTTTCAAGCGTGTCTCGTTACAATTTTGAAGCATCGTCTGTTTCATGCGATTTAACTATGTTTGGAGCAGAGATTGACGAGAGTTGTCTGGTTCTGGTGACAACTTGCGTGGTCACCAGTGGTGCAAAATGACTCGCCTTCTACTCCTGCCTTATACCACTCTCTCCAGGTCGTTTTGCCCTACTCGGTTGAACCATTGTAGGTTTTACAACTCAGGAAAACGTTGTCGTGCTCGCAGCCACCAACAGAATCGACATTCTCGACCCAGCACTCTTGCGACCGGGTCGCTTCGACCGACAAATCTATGTTTCCCTCCCCGACATCAAGGGTCGTGCTTCAATCTTTAAAGTGCGTTAATTGTCTTCTTTTTACGCTCTTAGAACTCTCCCGCATTTCTCATGTCGTAGCTACCAGAACCCAAACGGAAAGCCATTTTTAAGAGCTAAACCTCAGCAATTGACAAAAACTTATCGAGAGTAAGGTGTAAGGTATGATTGCGAGTAATTTTTAAGGCAGGGCGATTAGGAAAATCAAAACCACGTTTTGCGAGGAGGGTATTAACAAGGTCTTCTTTTTCTACTTATTGTTTCATTTGGTGAATATTACGTCAAGTCTAAAGCTTTTGCTCATTTTGCAACGGTATTTCCTTCAAAGCTCCTTTATTAGCTGAATTAGTATTCCTTTGCACATTGATGTTTGCGATGAGTAGAATTCAATGGACAATCGAAACCAGCCTTTAATGGTTTTTCTGTTTGAATTCCTCGATTTGCGCCTTCTTCATCTTACTATGTATGTACTTCAAGGTGCACCTGAAGCCGCTGAAGTCTGCGCTCGACAAGGTGGAGGTGGCGCGTCGCATGGCAGCACGAACTCCGGGCTTCTCGGGTGCCGACATCGCCAGTGTCTGCAACGAGGCGGCCCTCATCGCGGCGAGGCTCGACGCCAAGTCCGTGGACCTCACCCACTTCGACGCCGCCATCGATCGGGTGATTGCGGGGCTGGAGAAGAAGAGCCAGGTGTGTGTGCCCCCAAAGTTTGGCCGATGTACATGCTGATTGTCCTGTTTGCAAAATATCTCCTTGCACCTTTTACCCTAAGTTTGAGGTTATGTAATCCTGACTAAATTGTTTGAAGCTTTCTGAGTCCCTAAGGTAATCATTAGTTTCTTGTGTTATCTAACTACCTGGTATTGTTGTTTCTTTAACAGCTATTGAAGATAATTTATTCCTTCCTCCCATCCTGGTTGCCTCATCGTGTCTTTAGGGAATTTCCTTTACTTGGTTTTTCTTCAAAATGCAGACTTAATGGGTTGTTTATCACGTCCTTCCTGTTTATACACAAACTCAAACTATTGGACCGTGGTAATTCCTTTTTTTAAACGGTGTACCGCCGTTGGTGCGTAAGTGTTGGAGAAATCGGATTTTGGCTAAATTAACTGACGCTCCAGATTCCAGAATTGTCAACCGTCCCTGGGGGATCTATCGGTCGTTATTGTTCCCGTCAAGAACCACTTACTCCCTGCGTCTCGGCACCCATTGCACGCACTTTCCCCGTCGGGTCTACGCTTGTTTTTCTTTAAGTGATTCTCTTTATGTGAACCTTGATGAACACCTTTCGTAGGATAGGTTTTAGGTTCAAGGTAATCCGATTGAAGTTGCAGCAGACACACTTGAAATGCGTTTGTTTGCTCCCGTGAGTGCATTGCGACAAATAATTCTCACATGCGTTGCTTTCCACTACGCAAGATTGTCTCAATTTGGTTGTAGGTTTGTCGTAAATACTTTTTTATTGGAATCGAGTTGTTAAAGGATACCGTTGAGAGTCCAAATAGGATGTTTTGATGGTCATTTTTGCCTTCTTAAAAGCAAATCAGTTGCCACGCACGTAGACTCCAACGCCCTCCCACTTGCGAAAACAACTCATGCCACCCAAGGACATAATTATTACGTGCTATATGGTGGGGGTTTGTCACAGAGATTTTAGTATTTTTTCGTCCTTTAATCAAATCTGGGAAGTTGGCAATTTTATGCACCTTTATTCGTTGAGAATGGTTTTACGCCATTGTGGAAGAGTACCATTTCCTTTAAACGTCAAACCGATGATTTGCTGTGTATATTTTATCTTTTAACAGCCCTCCCAGCATGGGTTTTGGCATCTCATGGCGCATTATTTATCCCCATTCCCAAAGACAAAATTGCTGATTATAATGGAACTGCCACCCTTAAATCTATTAGGCTAGGTACCGTCCATCTCAAAATAGTTTCATGTAACGCTTTAGGGACGTTGTTTCTATGCGTCGGCTGTTTCGATATGCCTCGGGAAAGGATTCTGTCGCTGTCGAGTTGAATTACTCGTTATCATAACTCGTCCTGCACGTAGTTTTCATAGGTGTGCAAGACTCCTAAGTCCATCTTACCGAACTTCTTCGAAGCCTTTTGTGTGCCTTGCGATGCTCTTAGACTGGCTGCTGAGTCTCGTGGCTTTGTCTACCAATGCCTTTCTTGACGTCTAAATAAATTAAAAATAGTAAACTTTCGCTATTGTTGCCGTTTTTAGGAATCAGATCTGATAATTCATTGCACATCACAACATCTTTTTAACCCTTACCTGATTTTCTTTTTACTAATACACTTTAACCATTTCGCAACAGCTCAGGGACAGTGTGCTCCATTAAATATGAACCACCGTCGCCCTTAACGTTATAATTATCACACATAACTACTGAGGTTCTACTAAAGCGGTCCCCAGAGTGTAGAGCAAGGGTAGCACCAATCAGTATCCAAAGAACGGACATATTATTTGAAATGTACGCTAAACACATCGTTTGTCTTTATTTTTCCCGCAGATTGCTTTTTCGGCTGCAAAAAGTATTTTGCTTAAAAAAGATACGCAAAACAACTACTATTAAGCAAACTTGCCTTCTTAGCTCATGAATATGTGGTCTTTGGTTGTAATAGCCACCGTGTAATGCAATTGACCAAATATCGCTTTTTAACAAGGTTTCGTTTGCAAATCCCAAGACCACATTGTCAGCAGAATGGGTGCTTCTCAAAAGGGACGTTGGATAATTTTCGGTGGCTTAGCAGCTGCTTCACATGCCGCCTTAGGCAACCAGTGGCTGGTTTGTGTAAAGAAGTTGAGTGCGTATTCTCTTATGAAATGCAAACTATGTTATTGGTCTGCGTACACAGGTCCTTCAGCCGGAGGAGAAAAAGACTGTGGCGTATCACGAGGCAGGTCATGCAACAGTGGGCTGGTTTCTGGAGCACTGCAACCCCCTCCTCAAGGTCTCTATTATACCCAGAGGCAAGGCGCTGGGTTACGCGCAGTACCAGCCGCGGGACGCCTATCTGCACACTCAGCCGCAAATGCTAGATGAGATGTGCCTCGCGCTCGGTGGACGAGCCAGCGAACAGGTCTTTTTCGGGAAGGTCGGCTCCGGTGCAATGGACGATCTTCAGCGGGTCACACGCTCTGCATATGCTCAGGTGAGCTATTCCTGCACACTGTCAATGCAGTTGGGCTCTTGTTGTTTACAGCACAGTATTACGTGCTGCGGGTTCAATTCTCAGTATTTGTTTGGTGACGAAGATTTGCCCGTTGTTTGTTGAGTTTTTGTTGAAGCAGCGATTGTGCTGAATAAATCCCCATGTCCACGTGTGTAGCACTTTAGGTTCAAGCGGTTATATGCTGGTCAAAGTAGCTAATCGCAGTTTCTTGTAGGTAGTATATGTGTGCTTGTTAAGAGCACGTTTTGTTGAAAGCCATCGTTGGCGCACGATTGATGCAACGAGTTTTACGTGTTTAGTGGTCGCACATTACGACCTACGACGTTTCAGTTGGCGTAACCCGGTTTAAATTCTTTCCTTATAATTGACCTGTCATTTCAACCAAAAGATGGCTGTGGGTCTTTCTCCTGAACCATTACCTATGTCGATTCTGTTTGCAAAGTTTGCCCTGACCTTTGATTTACTTCTTCAACAGGATTCCATTTTCAGAATTTATTTCAATCTTGACATGGCTAGCGACATGATCTTCAGAATTAATTGCACTGCAAACACGGATAAGGCCCTCTCGAAAGAGTAGCGAGTGAAAATGGGGCACAGCTACCTACCATGGATTATGTCTTTTACCGCTACTTACCTCGAATCGTTGCCATTCGAAGGTTGTTCAACTGGGCTTCTCGCCGAAAATCGGTAATCTCTCCTTTGACTTGCCTCAACAAGGCGAACCAGTGATGACAAAGCCCTACTCGGAGCACACTGCCCAAGTCATAGATGAGGAAGTGCGTGACATTGTCGCCAAGGCCTACGAACGAACGATCAAACTAGTCGAGCAACACAAGGAACACGTTGAAGCGGTACGTGCTGGTCTCTCTACTACTTCCATCTAATACTGTTTCGTTGGAAGTGTGTAAATTTACGCAACCTGCTTTTATTATTGCGTAAAGGCATATTTAATTTGATGTAGTTGGCGCTTCGCTTATTGGAAAAAGAACAGCTTCAAAAGGAAGATCTAATAGAAGTTCTTGGTCCACGACCATTCAAGGAAAAGAGTACCTATGAAGAACTCGTTGGCTCAGGTAGGTCTTGCAAATGAATGGTTTTCTCACTTTTTGTTGAAAATCGCGCTGCCTTGGCCTCTGGTTATCGGCTTTTATGCATCATACTGAGTCCTAAGCATTAGTGTGTTCGGGCACGTATTTTAGTGCTAAAAGCTTGTAATGAGTTCTGTCACGTTGGTAAAATCGGCAAACGTATAATATATCCTCTGTTATTTTTAACAAGAATGAGGTCAAACAATGTCATAAAGTCCAATCGGCTTGCTTTCCTCATTGGGCATAGTATATCTTTGTGACAGATTATCTGAGCGAAGATATTGGATGCGTGTTTATACGCGCTAACGACTTGTACATGTCGTGAATTAAGGAACTAAATGCAAGCGCACATTGTTTGGTTAGAGCAATTCTAAAAACTCGCGCGATCGTGACCGCGGACATCCAAGAAAATGCCCTTTTTGTAGGTCCTCTCGATGAAGACACGGATCTGCCTCCAGGCCTCAAAGACTGGAATAAGGAGCCAGAACCATCAGCCTAATTCAAAATCGGAGGCTGTGCAGAATCGTTTTCTACCTTTGTAGATTAGACAAGGTGTATTAACCACCCTAATTTCGATATCCCATTGTCTCAAAGGTGTTTCCCCAAATCTGCACTCACCTCGTCCCCACATAATATCCTGTAATGAGTACATTTGTATTTACGATTCTCTCTGTTTTGAAATTTTGTAACAGATACAGCTTAAAATTTCAAGTTTATAGCTGTCCCGTGCCACAAATCTCATCATCCCGAACTGAGGGGGTTGAAAGAGCCTTGTCAAAATTACTATTCAACTTCTATTTAAACGAAACGTGGTGGACAGAATTTCGCGAATAATCCAATGTCTGCAGAAGGTGAAATGAGCGGATTTGAGGTAAATCTATCAAACTGCATGGACCAGAATTTTTGAGTGATTTCAAAACCTCGGTTATCTGCTTAAAATTGCGACATTCAGCGGACAAGATTCTACCGATATGAACACAACATTTACTATGTAAAGCTTAGATTACGGGGGGAGCGGATGAAGTGCGCTTGTCTAGCCATTCATACAGTCGATTATGTGGTGCTTATTACAAACGTTGTGGCATGGGTAATGGGAGATTTGCCAGTGGCCTGGTTGTTGGGCCTGTGTAACACGCTACTTGACTTGAGTTGTTGTATTTGCGTCGGGAATGTGGGCCTTTGTTAGTGACTCGGTTCTACTATAAATTTTCTGACCGTGTTTTCGGTTAGCGTAGCACTCAAGGAAGCAGAGGTTATCACATTTCCCTTTAGAAACGTGGTGTGTATTTTAAACACGTCCGATTTGTTGACTGTAAATACACGCGAAGACCTGTAACCCAAGTAGTTTAATGGACTTACATACAGGTTAGCCATACCTGGTTAGTTGCTACTATCAGCTTTTGTGGGATGGTTGTAATTTAGTTGCTGTGAGTGTTAGCTGTGAACAGTGAACGCTCGAAAATTATAGAACGGAATCGACAAAGGGAACTACGAGTCTCAGGGGTTGGCTACGAGAGTGTAGGGTATTTTCGTCATTGCTTTGGTCTGGGGAAGGAACATTGCTGTCATCCACGTATGCAATTTTGAGACGGTCTAAAATCCCAGTATCCAACGATCCCTTTTTGTCCTTCCATCTTAAAGGAACCATCGTAGGTTAGTTGCATGGAGGTTTTACGCCATCGACGCAGACAAAGACGCAAGGGGAAGTAAATAAGTGCCTTTCGGGAAGGATTTCGTGCTGGTGTTCATCGAATATCCTTCATGAAGCGCTGAATGGTCAATATTCGCTGAAGAAGGAATATTAACACTGGAATCAGAAAGTAGGACCATTACACCAGTACCAAAAACGAGTTCTGCTGGAGCAATTTAAGGCCTTCTTCCACGAAATTGCGTATAGCCAACAGAACTAACGGCAGACGCACCTTGTGGAAGGGTGGCTGATTTCATTTGACCGTGAAAACGGTCAACCAAGCCATTCGATGCTGGATGATATGCTGTAGTTCGAATATGTTTACATTCAAGAAGGCGACTTAGATCCTGATACAAGATGTGAATTGGGCGCCGCGATCGGAAGTTATAGAACTGGAAACACCGATTGACCGTAGTTTCGGTTACAGGGTCTTTAATTGGGACTGAAATCGGCCAACGGGCGAAACGATCCACAAAAAATTAGGACAGAGGTAAAACCACGAGACAGTGGAAGAGGTTCAACTAAATCTACGTGAAATGTTGTGTCGGTGGCGTTTGCTGCGTTGACACTGAATGCAGAATTTAGCCCATGAACGCACATCTTTATGGACGCTCGGCCAAAGAAAACTGGCAGTTATTATGCGCACGGTAGTTCGAACACCAGGATGTGAAAAGGAATAAAGATAACCAAAAATATTCTTTCAAAAGTGAACGGGAACACAAGGTCGAGGTTTGCCAATTGACAAACCACACGTGATTTTTGTGGAACATTGTGAAGAGGCAGCTCTGGAATAGAATGTTGACGATGCTGTTGTAATTCAGGGTCATTTTTCTGATCTGTGACTAACTGCTCTAGATCGATACCAGGAACTGGGAGGTTTTGAATATGTGCTTTGGACGGCGTATCGGCAACAACGTTATGCAGTCCCATCAACGTGACGAATGCTGGTTGTTTACTCTGAAATATATTCGAGGTACCAGGACTCGTGAGGAGAATGCTGATCAGATGCTGCATGGAAGGCATAAATCAGTGGCTTATGATAGGTAAACATTATGGACTCACGTCTTTCCAGTAGGTGGCTGAAGTGTTTCACATCTAGATAAATAGCAAATAATTTTCTGGAAACTGTGCTGCATAGCGTCTGAGCAGGTTGAATCTTTCGAAAAAAGAGCGGTAATGGTTCAGTTTGACAGTTCAGTTCTTGTCGAAGGACTGTGCTGAAAGCAGTCTGGGAATCACCCGGTCGTTAGACAAGCTTTAAGTTCTTCCAGCAGCCTGAATTTTCGACATTACCTCGAGTGTCCTTAATGGCTTGAAGGGCAGCTTCAGCCTCCTGGGTGAACGTCAGCTTCTTCGGATTCTTTTGAAGCAAATCTGTTAATGAAGACAAAACTTCGAAGATAGGTGGAATTAACCGGACGTAGTAGTTTATTAAACCAAGAAGACGAAGTAAGCTATGGGGTGATTATTGCATTGGATATTCCCAGATCTCAGCTAATTTCTTAGTCAGGAGTCTTATGTCATCTTCGTCAATTTGATGGGTGATACACTCAACGCTGTTCACTCCGAAAACACATTTTGAGGGTCAATTGGGATGTTATAAAATTTAGTACTTGTAAATACTTCACGCAGATGCAGGAAGCGTCCGTCACTGTCATCGCTGATGATAAGAATGTCATCATTATTGACAAAGACGAAGTCAAGACCACTCAAGACTTGGTCCATAAATCTCTGAAAGGTCTGTGCTTCATTACGTAAACCAAAAAGCAATCTCATCAATTCGTATAACCCAAAAGTAGTAATAATTGTAGTTTTGGTGATGTCTTAAGGGGCCACAGAAATCTGAGGGTAAATCCGGACATGAACAAGCTTTAAAAAATAATTTAGCACCGTTAAAACCCAAAGGGAAATTGTAGATATGAGAACTAGGGTATCGGCCAGGTCCTGTGACTTTGTTTAGGGCTCTGTAATTGCTACGTGTTGTCAGTAATCAAGATCCACACACTCAGATATCCGGTACCCCAGATCTCTTGTCTGACGCCAGCCTCACCTTCCCACGCTAATGAAGGACGAAGCAAGAGCTCGTGCAGGAAGCTTTTAACATCTCAGCCAAAGGCCGAGTGATCTATCCGATGCGCCCACTTATGCAAACCAAGGACGACTTTGACCTGATGCATCAATTCGGATTAACACAGATGGAGCTGTCAGTAGGGTGCCGTGGGTGATTCACTCAGTGAAGAGGCGTAGTCATGGCCTTGGTGTAGACAACAACGAAATCTCAACCCCCAATAAGCATTTTTGGAGAATGCAGGAGCCCCAGCTGCTATCACCACAGGGTCTCGTCCTCGGATTTCCTATGTACCATGAGTAAAATGGGCTGCCCAACGATTGTTGTAGGAGGGAATTATGCCTAAACGACAAATATGCTCAAATTTTGCTTTGGTGCAAGTCGTCTAGCTTTAGCGTTTTTTGCAGACCTTTAGTCAAAAAATGATGCATGACTGGGCCAATTCGACGATTTCGGAAAACTCCTTCAAGTGTTGTTCATAACTATTAGATTCGTGCAATGCCAAATGCAGTTTAACTGAATGTATTAAAGAAGAAACTCCTCGAACTGACAAAGTGGCATTTGAGATAATGAGCGTGAGTTGTGTCACGTCAACCAGCAGGCCTAATCGGGAGGGAAAATTTGAACTAATAATTGAGTACTGAACATTGGCCACAGTAAAAATAAGCAAAAAATGTTGCCTTAAGCTTACATTTAAAGAAAACAGCTTGTAATGGCGTGGTTAGCACTGCCTCACAACCCTCTGGTTAGCACTCCGTTACAACCAGAGAAGATGGAGAAAAGAGGCGACAGAGAACGCGACCGTTTATTAATGTCACACAAGCTAAGTGCTACGTGCACGAATGAGTGCTCATACGCAACAAGCTGTCCACTACAAGCTTTTAATGAACATTGCAATGGGCGAGTTGTTCGCGGCCTGGGGTTAAAGACTGAAAGCTTTGAGGTGGTGTTTATCAGCTCCTGGCAAAATTGCTCGAACATCGGCACCAGTGGCAATCAAGAATTTTAAACCGCTTACTGAGACGGAGACGTAAACCAGGCCACTTGATTGAGTGCTTAAGCCAGTAGTTGCTCTGACTGACCAGCCTTGGACGACTTTAATGCCTGGAGGTGGCTGCATGAGCATTTACACATACGTGCCTTGTCGCCATATCAATGACAGTTCTAACACGGGCCAGATAGTTCTCCAGATGGGCTGGGTCGGCGTAAACGTGAGGAAGAAAAATGCCCGTACAAGTTGCTCAGATTTCCTCAATCGCGTTCATCAATTCTCAATGAGAATTTGTCCATTCGCTCTTCCAATTTATTAATCCACATATTGTTGGTGTCAGTCGTTGCGATGGAGGAGATGACTTGATTTCCCAGTTCTTGAGAGTAACATTCTTGGATTTTGTCAGCTATTTCAGAGGACTGCTCCAACTGCGTTTCTAAGATCTGGATCTAAATTATAGCATTAGGATTTACAGTTAACGAGTATTGTTAAATGAGGTCAATTCGGTTGTTGATTTTTCTAATATTTATTTACATTAAACCCGTAAAGAGTTATGCAACCACTGTCTTGGTTACAATTTTTTTCTTGTTTAAAAATTTTGTGTAAACCAACATTTACCAGGACAACCTTTGTTGTAACATCGAGAGTTGTGACTGTTCCCATCACATCCTTTCACTATTCACACAGTTACCTCATTTACAGCATTTCATTGGTAAACACCACCCTCTAGTCATATATCAATGTTTACAGTGAAAGCCCTGCACTTTGTGATAATCACCCTCGATTTATCGGCCAATGGAGATCAAACAAACATAAGTGAAGCGATCTGGCGCTACAATTTGCCTTTGGTTTTCACAGCATTAGCTCTATTCACGGGGTATTGTTTTTGTTCTGGCACTTAGAAGGTAAGACTGTTGCTAGACAGACATTATGATATTGGTTCTTTGAGTGTCTTGTTTTTGGTTTCTCTCAAAGGCAACAGACTACCGGACTTTATGATTAAATATTCCGAAATGCTGCATTGTAGCTTGTGTGTGTGTGTGTTAACTTTGTGTCAATGCAATGTTTTCGCCCTGTCGATTTAGTGTCCAATCCCAGTTCTCGGTTTGTTAGCTACTTGTCTGCCGGTTCCTATTTTTTGCCGAGAGAAGACTAAACCATATTACAACCAATGCAGGGAAAATTGATGATTAATATTGTACTAGAGTTGATCAAAATAAAATCCAAAAGCACTAAAATATCTAGAAAACAACTTAATGTAACTCAATAAAACTATGAATTGTAGACATCTAGTCGTAGGTTTGGGCATTTTAGCCATAAACTGTACTTGATGAGTACCCTGCAGCCCTTTCTAAACTGTGAAAATCTTGATGCGTTCTGTGAATTCCTGTTGTAGCGTGCCATTTGTCCTTCCTGTATTAGCAATCGCATTTTCAATTACGGTATCTTGACATTAATCTTAAAGTGCTTAATGACTTCAACAAAATGTGAAGTCGCGAAATTGTCACAAACACTACCGAGGGCTTGTAATGCAACGTGAGGACTCCATATGTACAAGCATCATCATCTTTGCTGCTCCAACCAGAGTGGAACCAACCCACAATGCCACGAGAGGATAATAAGATTAATTTAATAAAGCGGGAATCAACCAAATGGGATTACAACAATGACGCAGCCAATTCACTATTAATCCATGTTTTGATGGTCTATGGGTAATATCGGGAGCCGACATGAAGCAATGATAGATAAAAATCGATTGTTTAATGGGCTGTGCATCTGGGTCACAACACTCGAGTAGACAACGGTTGACAGGTGATCCTCGACTGTGATATGTCAAAACATTCGATTTAGCAGAGAAAATAACCTATACTACCTTGGAGGTCAGTAGCTGTGTTTAAAGAGAACTTATCTTCTAATCGAAACAATCAACGCAAGTCGAGATTAATTGGTTAGCGTTCATTTGTCAATTCAAAATAATCATGGATCTAAACAGTACTAGTTTATCTAATCTCCAATCAAGGGTTGGGGACTTTTCTGTGCTATGATATGTGCCGATTGTGACATAGTTTCTAAAAGGCATAAAGTCAAATTGGTTAGAGCAAGAGGTGCCGTGACATGGCCTTTCTGACGACTTAACCGATTACTTGGAAGTATGGATCACACTGCAACATTTGAAGATCGCTTAGTTTATGTTTGACCAGAATGCACAGTCTTGATAAAACTCATTCAACAGAAATTAGATCTGGGCTAAAATATTTCCGAGTAGACACCTAAGAGTAATGCACACTCAAGCATCATAGGGGTCATAAAGAATAGTAGATCATTCAACTCGACGTCTAAGTTAACTTTCTTCAAAATAACATTAAAGGATCCAATGATAAAATAAGGTTAGATATTAGAATTGCAAACGCATGGTCATAGTACACATGTCCATGAATATTTCACGATTTTTTAGACCAATTCCAGGGTGCAATACAAATGCGTCAAAGTAATGCATATAAGGATTGACGTACCTGCGTATGGCACCAAAGCCCGGGTCTTCATTTCATACCATTAGAAAGAGTATGAAGCACAAAAAACGACTAAGTAAAGGTAGCATAATATTGTCTACAGATAGACACTTTTCTCATGATGTCTTAATCCATTTCCACTGTTCATTTTTAAAAAATCCAACACCAGATAGAGCACTTTTATCATAAACACAGACATAGAGCTTAGTTTCAAATTATAAACTATTGCATCGATTCTGTCGTTCTTTTTTGACTAATAACAAACTGAATTTTTTGCGATATAATCAAAGTAACACGGTTGGCTTTTCACATACTCGGGTTAATTTTAATTGCAGATATTTTATCAGTTTTACTTTGACACTTGTTTGTTTTAACAATCAGCGTTTATTTGCCAAGTCAAAAATTGTGGGTTACTTTGCGCATATTGTACCATTCCTTCGTGAAGACATTCCTGTATGTTAAGAGGAATGAGCCAAACTACTTCTGTAGATAGCAGTTTTTTGGGAGACTCAGCTAAGTATGTTCTTGCGCCCATGGTTGATCAGAGCGAACTTGCGTGGAGGATGCTTGCTCGAAAATATGGTGCACATGTTACATTTACACCTATGGTTCATATGCGCCAATTTATGACAGATAAAAAGTATAGGAAGAACGCTATTGAATTTTCCGACAAGGATCGACCATGCATAGCACAGGTTTGGTATTTATTCGTCTAAGTTCGTTAATAGTTCTGTGGCAATTCGCCTGAATTGTTTGCTGCCTCTGCCAAAATTGTTGAACCTTTTTGTGACGGGATCGATTTGAATCTGGGTTGCCCCCAGAATATTGCCCGTAGAGGTCACTATGGGTCATTTCTCCAGGATGAGTGGCCTCTGATAAAGTCAATGAGTTAATTTAGTTTCATTTAAACCGTTTTATGTAAACACGAGTGTCATCTGTGTTATTTGTGTCGCAGTTAGTGAATGCAAAGCTGCGGTGAATATCCCAGTATCTGTCAAGATTCGCGTTTTTCCGGATATTGAACGCACCATCGCGTACGCCAAAATGTTGGAAGAAGCCGGAGCTACTCTTATAACAGTTCATGGTCGAACTCGTGAACAAACTGGACAAAACTCTAAGCTTGCAGATTGGGAGCAAATAAAGGCTGTCAAGTAAGTGTTGATCTCCACGTTGTTGTTTCCTTTCCCAAAGGCTTTGATGCAGTTCTTGTCAGTTGAAGGTCTGTTACTTCTATAATTTATAGACCGAGTTGAGTTGTGGCATCGCGACTTACGTGGCTATGTGATTTAGACCTGCCTTAGTGGATGTATTTACCATATAATTTCAAATGCAAGTTACAGAGGAGGATTAAAATCACAAAAGTCCGTGCACTTGCACTTTTCTTTCTAGATAAGTTTTTAAAGTATAACATGGAGACCATTGCTCAAGAGGCAAGGCTATAGTCAAAGTGTAACTTTGCATTAGAACCTATTGTAACATCTTTGTAATGCCACATCATTCTCTGTCATGGCTGCCATTATAGTTTCTCCCCCACTTTATGGCACGTTGACGTCTTGTTGCCTTTTCTGGGTCTTATCTGTTTAGAATGGCGGTCAGGGTTCCCGTAGTTGCAAATGGGAATATCGTGTGCTACGATGACGTAGCTAAATGCCTAAACGTGACCGGAGCCGATGCTGTTATGAGTGCAGGTGACCCAACTGTTTTCTCCTAACGACACTTTTAGAGCCACATTTGTATAACCCGACGCTGTTTTCTAACGAACAGAGAACAGTTTTTCAGGTGGCCACTGAATATTTGGAATTTGTTAGAGAGTATCCTTGTCCAATGTCTTTCATTCGAGGGCACCTATTTAAGATATTCCGCAACACGTAAGTTTCCATACAGCCTTCATCGAGCTACCTCTAGGCTAAACAATCACACTGAAATGCGGGACAGTTTAGCTACTGCTAATACGGTCTCTGACGTTGAGGCGTTCATTAACCATGTCAAAGAAACATGCGAGGTGAATCAGTTTCCTATTATTATGAACGGTGTATCAACTTCAGTTAGTGTTTGCACACTCGTATACTGGCTTAATGCAGCTGACTTAAATGTCTGGTTAATCGTGTCTCACCATTTGTCGTTTCTATTGCCTTACGATTGTGTAGGTGTATGTAGGCCGTTTAGTTACTGGGCTGGACCGCTAACTCTTGGTCAAAACGTCCAGTTGACTGTTACGTGTGCACGTACCTTTATCACTAGTCTGTGACAAACAACACTGAGAACGTCAGCACTGTCGCTCCTCCCTCGTCGCATCTTTGTGCCACGCTACCATACATATTCTGGTGTTGCAGACTTGAACTTGCCTGGAAAGTGTTTTCAAGCTAATTTGCCTGGGTATCATAGATTGTGTGAAATTACGAAAAATTTCATGCAAATACCTCTGGGTGGTTTAGATGAGAAAGTTTTCGGGACTAATTTGAAAGTCCCGATCGGTGAGGAGGAGCAGAACAGTGCTCGCGGAACTACTTTAGGTGTTGCCATTTTACCCGTGAAATCTAGTCGCATTGCCTAGCCGTCAAGCGAGACACACACCGCGTTCACGACTAACTGGGCATAGTCGTAATTTAATTTCTCTTCCGTTGTAGCAAAAATGTATGTCGGCAGGCAATTGGTTAGCCTCTTCTGAGCCACGTGAGATACCTTATCCCCACTGGATATGTCAAGCCTATCTTCGGCCGCTGTGACCGCATCCAATGGAATCACAAGATGATGCGAACGACGCCACCATTCTAAGTGAAAGGGAGAACAGATCCATCACTACCTGTACCAGCGTTTTCTTATACTATTTTAGACTTTATTGCACTTTGAATAAAAAATGTGATTCGGGAAACACTGATTAGGTCTTTTTCACCAGGGCCATTGAGATTGACATCATTTTGTCGGCTTCGCCATTCCAGTTCCTGAGCTTCTCGAGATTCGGCTTCGAAGTGAGGTCGGGAACGGAAAGGCCCATCGAAGAGAATTCATGGGCTTCCCGTTTTAGGAATTCATTCGTCATATCAACAGACATTGAGATGGAGCAGTTTTCCAGTTCCTTTTCATCTGCTTTGCTACCGGTTTTGAAACGACACAGGTACCTTAGGAGAGGAAAAGCAGTGTAACCCACACCTTCAAATTGCATGTGGTGTTTTTACTTAATTGGGATGCCTTATCTTTCTCGCGTGTCTACCTTGCCCACATCAGCCGCAACAACTGAACTTGCTAAATTAAACGGTGGATAATGGCCACTATTGGCGTGTAGTGTTTGATTCAGTCAGTAGCAAACAGGCTGGCCTCTGACAGCAGGGTAAGTTCGTGGAGGAAAAACCTCAGTAATTCTTTGAGCCGCTCTCTTAAGTGACAGACGAGGCTGACGGCGTGTTAATTATACCAGTCCCGAGGGTATCGAGTATTTTCAATACAAGTTTCCTTATATTATTATTCTGAACTGTTTTTAATGGGACCACAGAAACGAAGTCTGGTTCAAGAATACTCGTTTTCAATTACAGATACACCCTAATAGACTCTTCACGGTTAGAACCTGCAACATTGTATCGATATTGGAACACGGCCGCCAAATTTCACCTTTAGTTCCACCGCAGGTTAGCATTACCAGAAGTGAACATGGACAGGTCACAACGCAAACGGGGCAAAATTACGAGTTAAGAGCACTGTAGTAGTACTGTAAATACATACGCCATAGAATCGCAAGGCTGGTAAACACATGAAGGTAGCCACTTGATCTAACAAATTTCAAAAACAAAAGCACGTAATACGTAACCGATTGTTGAGGCACAAATGAGTGAAGTTACCTGCCAATTAGGACACGGATATCATCAACTGTGAGGACGTCCACGTCTGTCGGCAAATTTTGCTTGAACCACATCAGTTTGACTCCTTACAAATAAGGCACTTGAAAATAACAAGAGTACTTTTTAACTCGTCCTTGTTTTTTCGCAACTTTCTTCGCCTACATTTGTTACAGAAAGTAAAAGTGAAGATAAAAC